CACCACTCACTGCGCGGAGGCTTTTGGACACGTGGGGATGATGGCTTCATGGGGGTTCGAAACACCAACTCACCGAACCATACTGCACGTTGCCAATCCGCTATATTGTAATTAGAGACGGTACGAAAAGCAGTGAAGGCTGTGTGCCCGCTGATGAAGTGTTAACAAGGACACGCTAGTGAGACACGTGTATCGTCGTCGTCGTTGATGTCTATTGGGGTGCTCATCAACATTTCCTTCTATGTGAAATGAATCCTTTGTTGGGTCTGAAGAGACATCCCCAGCCGCAGTATGCTAGTGTAGGAAGGTTCAGTAAATAGAGAGCTCAGGCTTTTCTTTGTCTCTTCTATTTATCTTCTGGCGTTTTCGAAAGATGTTGTCTTTTTGTGGATTGCTCTTCTCCAATTGCTACTTGAGAAGAAGAAAAGTCTTTGAGCATGAGAGACTTAACTGCAAATTGCGGTAATCCTCAGTTCTATTTCAATGGAATTAAAAATATTACAATCTGATCAGTTGCGTTTTCTTTTGGTACCACACGCAGTGAATCGGGGTGTAAATTCAGCCATTGTCTTCTATTGGTTATTGCAAATAATTCTAGCCAAGTAATTATTAAGGAAACAGTAATGGCGCTGTCCTCTCTACAGTAGGCGGTGATCCTTTGGGTATTTCCCGTTGATACGTGGTATTCGTTGATTGATAACTATCAAATATTATCACAATTTCTGAAATCTGTATGAACCTTACATAGATCTCAGTAATGACCATCAATCTTTGAACTTTGTGGAACTGGCGCTGCAGAATCACAAAGAACTATACCAAATAACAGAAACCATATCCCTCAAGGACTTTCAACAACAGCAACAACTAAAATGAACGACACATGTAACTCGAATAGGAAATAATGACATGAACAAGATGCTGACATTCCACACTACTTCAAACAAAAAGTTTGAAAGGAAATCCTCACCAGTAATGGAAAGAGCAATAACATTACCTGGACCTGTGAAGCCAAATGAGAAATTGTTTTAACAGAAACATTTTATAAATGTAAAACGGATGTAGCACTGGCTGCTCGGCCATTGAATGCTCAACGTTCCCTTATAAGGAAATGTCTCCTATTGCGGTTACAATTATCACAGCCTTCTCTCATGTTCGCACACCTATAATTAAGGACGCGTTGATATAGCAGTGTTAACATTGACTCAAAAGATATTAGAGTACAGTTAATATAGGTTTATATTTCCATAAGGTCAAGATATGGTGGCTCCACCTACTACTAAATTTACATAATGTTCGCCATGATTTTTGGCATGTCATTGTGTGGTGAACATTTAAGATAAAAATTTAAATTTTTGTCTTAGATTTATTACTGATAAAGTAATTGTGGCACAAGGCCGAAAACAGTGGGGAGACTAATCAAAGTTGGTCATCAGTAGCTCTCTTATGGCTAGCTAATCGGATTTATGACCCATTCATTCTTTCCAATAAATTCATTCGCCAAAAGAATTTATTGGTCACCATTCTCTTCTTCATACACCAAAATACCTCACGCACACTTGGCAACTATGGGGAAAAAATCTACGCCATGAGTTAAAAATCCAAATATGTACAATTGTGTACTATATATATATATATATATATATATATATATATATATTATCAATGGAATGATGAGAGGGGTGATGATGACCGCGCAAAAGAAGGAATGATGTCAGTAGGACACGTCCACCACACAAAAATGAGATCATATTTTTATCTTAGATTGGGGATTTACTGTTTTCCCTTCGTGTATTATTTAAATACGGGGATTTGTATGACGTCATATACTATGACTGTAATATGATGTCATATATTATGACTCCTTACTACCTCGAAAAAGTTTTCTTAAACGAGATAGATATCACATTTAAGAGATGCGCGGAGTTAATTTGCAACGTTAATTTGGACGACACAGGCTGGAGGCAGGCGAAACTCTCTTTGTGTTTCAGTGGCCTGGGCCTTCGATCAGCGGCAGACTTGGCCCTTCCACCAACACTTTCTTCCAGTCGCGAATTAATTGATGAAATACTCGGTGGTTCGTCTCAGTGTTTCTCGGGTAGTTCTTTCGAACAAGCTTGCAGCGTCTGGGCCCAAGAATTACTTTCTATCCTACAAGACACATCAAAACAAAAGCTGGGATAAAATAAAATTTTACTAATTTGAGTCTGGATCAGCACCGCCCGAATGTCTACTATCTGCTTCACAACTGAGTAGTGGCGCCTGGCTCAACGCAGTAGCCACTTCATCCACCGATACACTTCTAGATGATGAGTGCACTCGGGTCGGAATCACAGTCCGTCTTGGGCTCAAATTATGTAAGCATCACAGATGAAAATGTGGCACTTCCATAGATGAGTTTTGTTTGTATCCTCTCTCCTGTCGTCCAAGGCATGCAGCAATAAAAGGCATCATCAGGAGAGGTCTTGATGTAGCTTGATTCCCCTCCCAAATCGAAACCATAGGCTTAGACCGTGGTGATGGAAATCGGCCGGATAGGATTACCATTTACATTTTTAAAATGGGGAAGTCGTTGATTTGGGATGTGACCTATACCGATATATTTTCGACCGATAATTTGATCAGGTCCGCGGTTGAGCCGGGGTCTATCACACGGGACGCTGGGATAAAAAAAAAAGTTAAATATTCTTCTCTTGCTGGTAGATTTTTTTTACTCCTGTGGCAGTGGAGACTTCAGGGGTTATTGGCCCTCGTTCGATGGCGTTCCTTCGGAGGGTGGGCGGGATTGCGTCTCGGTTAAGGGACGAGCCTCGGGAGACGGAGTGGTTCTTGCAGCGTGTCTCACTGGTGATGGTACAAAGGTAATGTTTTCTCCATCATTACGGCTGGTAGAGGATACAAAAAAGAACATTTCGTGAACAATTAGTGTATCACAAAGCTCACTTCATCTGGGCATGAATATAATATTAATATATTAATGTGTGTCTATATTTCTGACATAATTTTGCAACTATTTACAGTAGACACTATTTAAGGAATATATACATACACTATTTAAGGAATATATACATACACTATTTAAGGAATATATATCTGCCCTTTTCAGCAAATAAACATTGGAAGAATGTCTACAAAAACGTAATCTAGCCAATCTTTAGAAATCCCAAAATACAGATTGACTATTCTGGGTTCGATTGAAAATTCAAATAAACATCACCTGATGAAGGCCGGTGTGTTGTGAATGCGTCTATAAAGATGAGGGCAAAAGTTCGAATAATATGTGGTATAAATATTCACATCTTTTAGCAATCAAAGCCAAGAAATCCAGCATTTTATTGTGTCTGCGCATAGTAATAGTTGTGTTATCAGCATAGATACCGAGCTGCGTACTTATATAACATACTGTGAGAAAATAACTTTACCTTTGTCAATTCCTGTCATGATATTTGCAAGCAGTGAATTGAGAAAATGAAACTGATTTCCAGTGACTTTACTGAGTGACCCAGGAATGGGAAGGTTATATGTCAGCCCATTTCAAGAAATCAACATGGGAAGAACATCTACACAAATGTCATCAGACCAATCTTCAGAAATGCCAACATGCGCATTGATTATTCTGGGTTTGGTTCAAAATTCAAACCAATATCACCTGAAGAAGACTGGAGCATACAATGGCCAAAACATTGTGAATATGACAATAAATATTAGGACAACAGTCCAAGTAATGTAAATAGTGTAACAATTGCATATATAAAATAGTTCCTCTCCAAGTTCCAATTAATTCAATCATGATCACGAGTATTATTCCAATGTTTCTTTTGCTAATGATGGATGTTCACTAGAGGCTTTCGTTTTTTTTTAAAAAAAAGATGAAAAGTCCACACAGTTCTGTTTAATGGCAAGGAAGAAAAATTCAACATTTTTTTTTAAATCAACCTTATCTGCTATGATAAAGGCATTAAGTGAAAGCAAAGCGAGAGAGTTTATATATATATATATATATATATATATATATATATATATATATATATATATATATATATATAGCCTACTATTTGCCGGCTGTTCTTCTCTCAGAATTTATTGCATCATAAACAAGAAGACTTTGGTAAATGCTCCATACACGTCTATATAAGTCCTGAACATAGAAGGATTTAAAAATATCTTCTGAAAAATGCCGGAACAAACAACGGCCGAAACGATGTGAATGTAAAAATAAAGATAAGGACAACAGCGCGGACAATGTAAATAGTGTGAATTTTAATATGACTTAATCATGTATATCTGATAAAATACAATTTCCCTCTTACTATATTTGTTGGATTATCAATTTTGGACATCGCGTTTAATTTTGTTGCTGTTGTTGTCGTTGTTGTTGTTGTCGTAAAGTGCTAAATATACTGAGTTGGAATTTTTGAGAAGATGAATTATCATCATTATATGATTTGCTATTCAGAAAAGCATGATCGTCTTGGTTTTTATACTCATTACTTTTCGGCTGCTGTGTTCTCCGAACATCTTCAGGTTTCTGTTGTTGAGCTCAGTAACTTTTCAATGTCTATACGAATCTTTTATTTATTTAGCAAGTGGAGATCATTTCCATTCCCCGTTTCATGCTTAAAAAACCAGGGGTGAGAACAACAAATTCCACCAATAATTCCATTCTTACAGACGCGAACAATATTTGTGTATAAACTCGGGCATAGCCTCCAACCTGTGTATATTGATGAATCGATTCGTTTTTTACGGCTCAGCAACTCTTTGCAGCTAATTTAAAGCAAGAAAATATTTCTTGATTATAAGATGTTTATTGTTGTGATTTTTTTTTAGATGCTAATGATTTAGTGGTAAAAGCCTTTTGCTAATTAACCCATGGGGCGAAGAGGTGGATTCAACCATTTCCCAAGAGTATTTGCACGTAAGTGAAAATAACCAGATTTGGTGCTCAGCTCTCCGATTAAAATTTCCATGCCATTATCTAATAGATCACTCGCACACCCAAGCTACAGCACCTGAGATTCTAAAGCGATCACCTAATCTAGGTACTGAGCAGGCTTGATCTTACTTAACTTCGAAGATCGTACGGGATCAGGTGTTTCAACGTTGTAGGGGCGTAAGTATGCTTATTAACAATTTACTATACTTTAATTAAATGAAAATATTTTTCCCATGTCATTAAATTAATCCACATAAATAAATCAACCTATGTACTAAGAGTCTGCTCAGAACAGACTCCCATCAGATGCAGATTGATTGAGGGCGAATCAAGTGGCAAGTATTCAGCAAGGCAAATTAAAACGTCCCTTTTCAGAGGGCAATTAGGTGTAGTCGGACATAGTGTCGAAGGAAAAAACTATCGAACGGACAAAGTGTCGAACAGAAAAAAAGTCGAGCTAAATGTCGAATGGAGATAATGTCAAAAAGACAAAGTTTCAAAAGGAGAAAATGTTGAACAAATCGACACGATTTAAAAAAAATTCGGTTTAAATAATCAATTAAGCAATTCTAAACATTTTATTGCTTAGTTTAGGCATTATTTAATAAATAATAACCATAAAAGTGATTAATAAATGTAAATGACGCATCCATTCGAATCCGAGGATGCCAGTCTACTAGGGAGATTGGCTAATCCCCATTGCAGGCGCCTGCTCAGGCATAGGGGTTAGGGTTTGATGAACACCCACAGAGCCCATCTATTATACTGAGCGGACCTTAGTTACAGTTTTTGGAGAAAGCGCCCTATCTAGGGTGATCAACAGGCTGAACACGGGTGTCACGATGACACGCACAACCACTGACGCTCCCCTAAGGGTTCCGTATACCCAATTTCACTCACAAGTCTCCGATAAACCGCTAACATCAAGAAGATACCTTCCTGATATTTCGACCCTGATGAGATTCGAACCCAAATCTCATGGTCATATATAGAACCTTCTAACGACGTGTCCATTTAAAAGTGATTAAACCTACATAATCAACGGTTAGCGGTCCGATCTGCGGGGGTCGTTTATTAAGCACGGCTGTTTACTAAACTGAATTGAGTCTTCTGATATATATATATATATATATATATATATATATATATATATATATATATATATATATATATATATATATATATATATATAAATGGACAAAGTTCGACAATTATTTTTAAAACATTTTTTTCTAGTTATACGTTATTTTTGTAGATACAATTATTTAAGTAAATGCTCTGTTTATAATAAACAGTATTAACGACATTTACCAGCCTGAATGTCCGAGAAATTTTCATAGAAAATATGCGTCCTCCGACATGAATCGAACCTGTATCCTATATGCCTTGAAAATAATTGTCGGACTTTGGCCATTTCATAATGTGTGACGTCATTTGTTTACATTTGGATACGCTTCGAGCAGATATGAATGTGCGAGAGAAAATCATAGAGAATTGTAGTTTAAAAACAGTAAAATCGACCTTGCTAACCGAAACGCTCCTCTGTTGCTCATTCGGTAAAAACACGTCAGTCTATATGACGGTTCAGCAAAGGAGACAGGTTCGATCCTGTCGGAGGACACATATTTTCTATGAAAATTTCTCGGATATTCAGGCCGGTAAATACTGTTTATTATAAACAGAGCATTTACTTAAAAATTTGCATCTATAAAAAAACGTATAATCATAAAAAATGTGTATATATATATATATATTAGGGTCTATAAATAGGCGACTTTCCAGGCTTTGTTCGTACGTTACTTACTCCGTTCCACACTTTGTTCGATATTTTGTCCATTAGCCATTTTCTCTTTCGACACTTTGTCCTTCGACACTCTTTATGTGCATGGAATTAAGCATATTATTATTTTTTTTTTTTTACAAATAGACAACAGAAATTGTTAAAAGTATGCTTGTTATTTTATATCCCCGATGTGTCTCTGCTAAACGGCTGGACCAAATAACCAGTGGTCCCATTACGCGAAATGTACACTATATTTTCTATCTAAATTTTTCTCTGGGGTTCACGGTATGCGATGACGTAGAAAACTTAGTCTTGGCTCGGATTTACTTCATTCTTTATATATTTATCAATGATTATTTTTCTTTACTCCTGATCGATTCAGTTTCTTATTTATCGATTTAATATTGCTTGTTCCAAGTCAGCATTCTGTCACTTCAGTATTATTCTTTCAGAATGTTAGACATAGGCAAATGTCGGGTATCCATTGATGAATCAATTATTGTTGTAGCCTCAGAGCAGACAGATCGATCACGATATTGTTGTGTAATAAATGACTAATTTTTTCTTTAATTATTAATTAGATTTGTCATTGATTTTTGTTCCTTTTACATACATTTAACATTATATATTTCGTTGATCTAACAAAACTTAACTAACGTTTGCCAAACAATTATTTAAAATGTCACTATTGCCAAAGGTTACAAAAGCCCTGCGGTAAATTACTGCTTACGAAGCTTGGTTCTCTGAAAAATTCGCTAATGTATGTTTGATCTTCAATGTTGCTCCAAAAGCGTTGGCTTTGTGCCAGACTAAGAGAAGTCAGGCACACAGATTGTAAAATTATAGACTCAAAATTTGTGCCATCAAAATATGGTATAATTGTTTTGTTTCCTTTATTAATTATTGACTAAATCACTAACTAAATATATTTTCCTTCATGTATATTTTAAATCCTATATTTGAATTGGGTAATAAATTCACTAATCTTAGTCAGGAACTATTTATTTGCATGTCTGTCTGTCTTAGTTTCTTCACAACTCTTAATATGTTATTATCTGTTTGCAGCATATGTATCTTATTTTCGAATGTATCCCTATCTATCTATCTATCTATCTATCTATATATATATATATATATATATATATATATATATATATATATGTCTTGCATCTTTCTATCCCAGCTACATGTATCTATCTACCGTGTTCTTATCTTTATAGCTAACTAGTTCGCTATTTCAACCGGTTTAATGCATGCTAATATATATATATATATATATATGAAGAAATATAGTCTTAAGGTGTGCTATATTTATGGGATAAAGTGATCGATATCAGAGATAGAGCGTGTGTAAATATAAAAGTGAACATAGAAGTCAACACTTAGAGGCGACAGTCTGTTTCATGCTATATGCAATCGTCAGGCCACGTGTGCTGTTATTTTTCTCGGCTATTTATACATATACGGGTCAGTGGTGCATTGTGGGTAGTCTATTATGGCGGTTATTTTACCGGAAGTCGTTTATTTATTTATTTGGGTTAAATTATTTTGCTTGTTTTTATATAATTTTATTTTTTGTTTCTTATTTTATTTACTCATTTTTTAATCGGTGTTTTTTATTAACATAGTAAGAATTTGTTTATATCACTTATTTAATAGTTTTGTTTTGGTTTGAGAATTTAATTAAAGCTAATTGTTCCGTTTGGGGGTTGGTTGTTGTAGTTTTATTCTAACTATTATTTTGGCAGAAACAGTTTTTAATTTGTGTTTATTTGGGTTGATTATCTTTATTTGTTTTTTCTAACGGTAACTTTATCGGGATTGGTTAGTTTATATATTTACTTGGATGAATTTAGGTCAATTTATTTTACTTCTATATTTTCTCGTTTCGGTTTTCGATTTTTTAAGTAACGTAGTATTTATTTATTTGTTTTTTATTTTATTTATTTATTTATTTATTTATTTTTATCGTTATATAACAGTTATAGCTATATTTTACGTCCGATTTTTGGTTTGATTTTTTAGTCTAACTAATATTTTGGTTGGAATGGTTTGCTACTTTGTTTATTATTTACTTTATTTATTTGGGTTCGTTGTTTTTTTTTGTTTTTTTGTTATTATTATTATTATTATTATTATTATTCTATTTCGTCTATTCTAACAGGTGTAATTTGGTAATTTGTTTGGATTAATTAATTTCGCTTATTTTATTGTTATTTTATTTACTTGTTTATTTATTTGTTTTTTTATTTTTTTCCGTTTTCAATTTTTAAGTAACGTAGTAAAAATTTGTTTTCACGTCTGCATTTTGAGATGAGCTCGAATCTTTTATTGAATAATTTATTTTGGTCTGGGAAAGTAATGATTGCTATTTTTTCCTCCTCCAAGCAAAGTTTGCAAGTTTTCGATTGGCTTGGGAAGATTTGTCGCTGGGATTTTGTAATTTACATCTGTGAAAATGGACTGTTAATCATGAATACCATTAGAATATGTGTCTTACAAGACAAAATGAATGTAAGTATGTTGGATAATTGTGTTTTCTTTACCTTTCTAGTGGAGGGGACTACCTATCTAATAGAGGAATTTTTGATTCTTTTAAGATGGGACGGTCAAAACTATTTTCTATATAAATTACTTCGTTTACATTGTAAACGTTTCGCTATTTTGAATAGGGAAGAATACTGAAAGATATTTTTCTCCATGAATTAATGATAATTGCTTCTTCACTCAATACTATTTCGGATAGAAAGGGGTACTGAAATTTATTTTATATATGAATTAATAGTAAGTTACACTATTTCGGACAGAAAGAAACGCTTGAAACTACTTTCTATATAAATTTAGTAATTGCTCCGTTTTACACCATTTCGGATAGAGAGGTAAAATTCAAAAATATATTCTCTATATCATATCTTGCTTTTACACCATTTTGGGGACGCTGTAAAGTATTTTATATATGAATTAATAGCTTCTTCGATTAACACAGTAGAGGAGGTACGCTCGAAACTGTTTTCTGCTTAAATCAATAGGTATTGATTCTTCGCTTTACCCCATTTTGGATAGAGAAAGAAATTTTTAACTCTTGGCATATCTAACTTTCAAAGCGCGAGACATGGATGTTTTCTTCCGACCCACTACAATTTCCGCCATTTTGTTTTGCGCGGACGTGATTCGGATAAAACGTCCCCAATAATGCAAGGGTAATTCAAAAATATTCGACCTTCCAAATCATTTCTCTGTAAAAAAAGAAAATGATTCATTATATTCCCAAAGTAGCGATTCTTTTCTTGGCATTTCGAGACAATAAAACATTGTTGATTATTGATTGTTTTTATATTCTTGTTTGGTTATATTTGCAATAGTCAACAACTGGTGTCTTATCTACGCGTGGACGT